CCGACATTAACATTAACATTAACCAAGGTTCTTGCCTTGTGCAAACAGAGCCAACAGATCTTGCTGGAGCCCGGTGTGCAAACCCAGCCTTGGGGTGGACTGCAGAAAATACAAAATCATCCAGTGAATTATTCTACCCCATGGTATTCCTGCCATGCTCCGGCAGGACACTTAATTGTGCCAGAGAGTAAAAGCCTTCCTCCTCCTCCTCCTCCCCACTGGGTCCCCCGTCCACGTACGTACCACCAAGATCAGCGTGCCCAGGCATTCAGCCAGAGCCTGCCGGAGGAGCTTATTCCTGATCCTCAGCCTCTGTCCAAGGACCGTCAGCACTTCTCTCTGCCTCCCCATGGCACCGGGAGCTCACAAGGCGGGTGTGGTGGGTGGCGAGAAGATGCCTCTGTCTGAACCCGGCAGCCGCAGCTCTCTGGGGCTCATGCCAGAATCCAGACTTGCCCCAGCTTATAAGCAGGTAGAGGGACCCTAGATCCGCCCTTGGATCCTTCTCCGCCCCTCTTCAAGTGCAACTTGCCGTGGCCGTGGCTGCTGCGCACACCCTCACCCCGACACACCCACTTGACAGCATTAGACTGAGTGTGTGGTTTTCTTCGTTCCTTTCCTTCTCTTCTTCTCCTCAGCAGAGTTACTCCCACACGCCCTGAAGACACTGCCCAGTTCAAGCAGGGGGTTTGGGCTGGGGCCAAATTTGATTCCACTCCTCCCTAGACTGCTAGAAGGGGCACGGAGCCAGGAAAAAGATGCTCCATGCCAGGGGAAAGAGCCCCTTGGCTTTCCTCTTTTTCCCAGGAGAAACGTCCCAGCGTGCCTGGAGGAGCATCAGCCCCCACCGTCCCGTCGCTCCAGGCACCGCCTTCTGCTCCCTGAGGATCAAAGCACAGGGCTGTTAGGTTGGCTGATCTGATGTGAAGATCGAGACCAGGAAGAGATTTCTTGGCCAGGAGGAGAAACAAACCCCCCACCAATGTTTTCTATGGGTTATGACCCGAGTCTCTTTGGAAATCGTTCCCTTGAGTGTGCACAGACTGCCTTTGCCGGGTTTTAGGGGAGATGGTGTGGGGCTTGGGCTTGCAAAGAGGCTCTGAGTGGTCAAGAGATGGAACAGCTCTGCAAGCAGAGCAAGAGTGGATCTGGAGGAGTTTTTGGGGGAGGGGGGGCAGAAGAGTTTTAAAAGGTGGAACAGACATCTCCACAAGATGTGGGGAACAATCTCTCTGCAAGACTTGAGGCACCTGTGTTCACTCTCACCCTCCCCCCCCCTCAAACCTCAGGGTGTAAAAGAAGATTTGCTTGGAAGTCATAGATGGGCCTCAGTCCACACCTCATTCATACCTCCATAAACCAGTTTACAAGCCACAATGCCTGAGTTCACCCATAGCACAAAGTCATCAGTTCTGATTTACAAACTATGATGGCTGAGTTCTTCCGTACCACAGAGCCATTGACCATGGTTTACAAACTATGACAGCTGAGTTCACAATAACACAAAGCCCTTCACAGGGCACTGAACCCAACCCAACCGCACAATGGTTGGCCTGTGTGTGGAACCACCCACCCTCTTGACCCCGGGCTTTAGCCCTCCGCTGACTCCCTGGTGACTCTGACTCTACAGAATGGGGCAAACCTACCTGATGCCCTCTTGACATTGCACAACTAAAACTCCCAGCAGTCCCAAACCCAAAATATGGTGGGTTGTGAAGGATGCTGGGAGTTGTAGTCCAGTCACCTTGATTCTTGGCGGTCTTGAGGCTGCAGTTTCTGCTTCTCAGAGGACTGAAGAAAAGAGTTCTCCATGGTGAGGAGAACAAGCAGATGGATCTCCATCTGGAATTCCTGGTTCCGGATTGATTCACTCAGCCCAGACTTTTAAGGGACTTCTTTCCCTGCCTGAATTCTAGCAGGTGCTTTTGTCAGTGATCTCTTTCCAGAGGCATCCCCAAAGGAGGTCCAAAAAGTCAAGGTGGTGGTCATGACCACGCAAGCGAAGTGCCATCCCTTTTTTGCATGCATCATAGCCATCATCTTGACTTTTTTGATCTCCCTGTACGCTCCTCCTGCCCCTTTCACAGTTTCAATAAATAGTGGGGTGGTAGGGCTAAATGCAGTCCTATCTGCTGCCCTTCCGTCCAAATGTCTGAATGCAGCCAACCCTTCAGATGAACTTACGGAGATGGGAAAAGTGGCAGGGGGCCGTGGCTTAATTTCCAGAGCGCACATGAGCCTCCTTTTCCTGAACAAGTTAAAGGCACAAAGCACTAAAGGATACGTTCTATTAGCTATTTTTAAATGTTAGAGAAACAGAAAGAATAATTTCCACGGAGTTGGATGGAAAAAGTTGAGAAACGAAGCTTAACAATGGGAACTCTTCTCTTTTTTTTTTAGTTCATAGATATTGAGATATCTCAAAACATCTCCATTTTCTGTAGTAGGAGATGGCATGTCCCCAGTCTTCAGAGATTCTCTATGGCTGGTGAGAAACTGCTCATTGAGCAAGGCAATTGATGAGAAAAGATGCCTGTATTAAGGTTGAGAGGTGGATTTCTCATGTTGGTATCTGGCCCTTGAATGCCGCAAAGAGGAAAGCGATTGCCAACAATTCTGCAGGAAAAGAGGCTTCATGGTTCTGAGGAATTAAGGATCAATTTAGCCCAGTACTTCTCAATCACAGCTATTTCATGACTGGCTGGGGATTCTGGGAGTTGAAGTCCACACATCTTAAAGTTGATGAGCTTGAAAAACACTGATTTAGCCCAAGAACCACAGCTTGGTCACAATTATGCAAAATCCAGAAGACGTAAAGCTGACCAGTTGTATCAAACCCCCCAACAGCGAATTGAACTGGGGTGAACAACCATCCTAGTGTCAAGCATGTCAAGCTCCACATCATCCTGACATCTATCATGGGTGGGAAGGCCCCCTTAACTGCTGGAGCTTATCAACATTTTCACCTCTGGTCCCCTGGAATTGCCAGCACACCAGCACTAGGGAGCTTGGCAGCAGTGCAAAATCAGCATGGTCCTGTTGTTTGGTTGTAGCGCCTTGTGTTCCAAGATACCTTGTATCTGAACATGGAGGTTCTATCTTCCCACCCTTCTGGATTGTAGTAAAGAAGGATCTTCCATGGATTTCCCAAAGCCTCTTTTGATCCTAGTGGCCACCATCTTATTATGTGGCAGTGTTGATAGTTTGGGGCCTCGGGTGTCTGATCTCATGTTGTGTATACCATGATATCTTCACGCAAATGACACATCTCCACCTATCCACCCTTTCTGCATGGCTCATAAGTCTGTAAACCAATTGTATCCTTTGGAGAACATGATTTGGGGGAGGGGGGATTGGTAGACTTCGGTAGACATCACAGGAGGGGTAAAGTCAAGATGGCAACCAGAACCATGCAATCAAAGCCCCATCCTTTTTACAAAGCACATTAAAAGGGGCAGATTTTGGATTGCATGGCCACAGCCACCAACTTGCCTTTTTTGACCTCACCTGTGGACACCCCTAGGCAAACTTCTCAAGTGCCCTCCAACAGTAGTCATTGGCTAAAACGTGGGTGGTTGCATCTGAGAGAGCAGCTGAAGAGTCACGTATGAATCAAAGACTGGGAAAACTACATGTTACATCTACTTTTCAGAAGGCTGCTTGGAGAAACCCTACCATTTACGTCTGACTCAGCACCATCTGAACATCTGTGGACCTTCTCTTCTTGGTCTTGGACTCATTCAACTTTAGCTCAAATTAGAGTCTGACACAACGAAAGGTGTTGTTCTGATTAATACCACTAGAAACAAGCAGGAAAACCACACGATCCGTCACCCACTCTAGTGCCCTGCAGCTCTAGAGTTGCACAAGTTTTGCTTAGCTTGAATAGTCCGTACACTGCCATATGACTCAGCAGGGGTGCTCATACAGTTGCCTCAGAAAGGCCTGCAAAATACGAGAGGCTGAGATCTAAAGGGCCAGCTAGCACCGGCTGAAACAGATTTGGATGATCTCAGCCCTCTCAGAATTGGAGAAGCAGAAACTGCAGTTGCAATCTGGCTTACTGGAAAGCTACTCCTACTGAAGTCAATTTGCCTCTCTCCTCACGGCAGCATGGCGGCCTCAAAATCTTAAACTTCTGTTTTTAAACCAAGGTTTGCTGAAGAAGCCACCGTACCTGGGTTCACCCATCTCACTAAGCCTTAAGCAAACCACAGATTAGAGCTAGCTACCATACCACAATGATTTTTTTCCCCTGGATAATACAGTAACTCCATCAGACCAGTCTCTATCACTATAGTATACATTGAAGGATAGCTAAATGTTCTTGCCCATCATTTTCACTGATATGTTAAACCAAGATAGCTTAGATATATTTAATGAAATAAAGGGGTACATTTGGGGTCCATTCACCCAGCTGGAATTTTCATTTCTTCCATAACTGTTAAATTTATTCAAGCACCTTCGGTGAGAGATCTTGTCAAAAGCTTTTAGAAATTAAAGAACATCTACCGTATCTAACAGATAAGCTCTTTGAAGATATATTTCTTGATGCTCTTAAATAACTCCAGTAAATTAGCAAGACAGGAGTTTCCAGAAGCCAGGCAAATTCTTTCTCAGCAAGAGATGTTCCTCTTATCTGCTCAGCAATTTATGGTTGATAACAACGATTTGCTCAGGACAAACTACAGTAGTTGTCCTTAATGTTCTGATCGCTATAGATCACACCTTTTTAAAAATGATTCATTAGCACAACGCATCCATGGGACAGAAGTGTCAAGACGGTGGCTATGACCATAGAATCAACACGGCCACCATCTTGACTTTTTTGACAGATATCCCTGCCTTAGTAGTTAACCAATCCTCTGCCACAGAGGGCAGTTTTACAGGTAAGGTATATTTTTGCTAAATGATAGTGAAGGAATAAGGGGGACCAAGACCCTGTCAAATATTTAGCAATCTAACTAACCTTAGATTGAGGTATGCTGTTTCAGATTATCACTTATGATTAATCCAAGAAACTATGCAATCTAGCCTAACACGTGCTTCTTCTGAACTACAACCCACTGAGATCAATGGATTTTATTTCCAAAGAGATGTACATACATGTATGCTCACTCAGATATAACTCTGAAGAATTCTGTGGAACTTCTTTCTAGAGAAATTTATTTATTTGTTTGTTGGTTTGTTTTTCAAATTTAGATACTGCTCATCTCATGAAAAATACGCATGTTAAGTATCTCTTGGCTTGGTGAGATGCCCAGCGTATCTATATTTCTAACAAAATTTATAGCAAGCTACTATTACCCTGTGAACTTCATATTGGGCTTTTAAAAGATCTCTGAAGTTTAGGATGGGATAGGTGTTCTCCAATAATGTAGTCCAGTAGGGAAAAAAAAAGTTTTTCTGCTGGAATTCTTGGTCATATCTAACCTTTGTTGATGATTCTCCTCTTTTCCTGGATCTGTTGAAACCTCACTTTCTGGAAAACTT